TCTACAGCAATAAATACGATGAGAGGGGTGATTGCAGTAAGCACATGGTTTAGTAAAGGCTATATCCACGTTTTGTGTTCCATTTTTAGATTTAAAAGGAGTAAACTTGATGTTTGTCCCACTTGATCCATCTCTGTTATTTCCACTCATTGAAGACGAAAACTGAGTTGCGTAGGAACCTTTCGGTTTTACCGTAAATGGTCGTCGTTCAGATATTAAGGCAAGTTTACCAAACATTGGGTCATTGGCTTTTCTTGATTCTGTCTGAAGTAGATTCAATAGGTCGACAAACTTAAGGGGAGTTGCCTTGCCTCTATTACTATCCTTCAGTGTTCTATACTTGTCTTGTATCGAACATGGAAGTTTTCGCAGGATTATTCTAACAGTCTCTATAAAGTCTAAATGTTTCTTCGATTCGATACTTTCAATTGCATTCGAGCACTCAGTTAAAAACAGTCCAAAATCATCCAAAGCTTTCGGATTATCAGAACAAATTTCAGGCGTTTGCTACAACTTCTTTGTCTCCATAACATTCTTCCAGTAATTGCATAGCTGATGTATATGCTTCCTTGCTACTCTTCTTGTATGAACAGGAACTGACAAAGCGATGGGCTTCACCGGTAGTAAATTGCTCAAGAAATGTCATCTTTTTCATCAAAAGATATGCAGTTTGAAATAACCAGAGACTTAAACTGTCTAATGAACTTATGATAATTCAGAACATCACCACTAAATGACTTAATGTTTGTAGCAGGGTTCCTCAAATGGCGAGCTAGAGATGCCGAAAACTGCAATGAAATGAAATGAAATGGGGTTTAACGTCCTACTGTTCTGCACCTAACCTGGGTTAATGAAGACGTGCATACGCCATACAGTGTGCTGTGAGGGAAATTTTGCCCAGGCAGCGGCGCTACGGCCTACTCTTATATCTAATTCCAACTGCCAAGGGATCTTTTACATGCACGCCAATGTGTACACGGGACCTCGGTTTTTCGTCCCATCCGAACGACTAGACAGCTGTCCTTGTCAGGCCCTCCATCCTGCATCACTGACAAGGGGAAACCACGCTGGAAAATCTAGACAGCTGTCCTTGTCAGGCCCTCCATCCTGCATCACTGACAAGGGGAAACCACGCTGGAAAATCTGAATGAACTTTCTCGGCAAATGCAGGGATCGAACACCCGACCTCAAGACTAGCGAGCCAGCGTCTTACCCACTTAGCCACGTGATCCCCCCCCCCCCAAAAAAAACTGCAATGATTCATCATTCATCACTAGGCACATACTTGACAGCAGGCGCAGATTCTTCACTTGGCACATGTTCAACAGCAAGTGTACGTTCATCAGTTGGCTTTACTGTAGTAGGTGTGGGCACCACTTCTTTCACAGACGTAGTACTACTGACAGATTTGTTATCACCATCGCTCAGATTCCTCAATAAATTGCTTTTTTCAGATGATATCTGAAGTTCAGTGTCAATTTTTAACTGTTCCTCACGATGCTCAATGTCCAGTCTAGCCTTATCAAGCTTATGTTTTTCTTTCAGGACATTTGGTCTTGCAGTTAACTCTATCTTTTTGTTTTCTTCTTGTAGTTTTAATGAAGATATACTACTTGAAACAGAAAGACGTGATGAACGAGAGTGACGACTAGTTTACTCCCTTTCCAAATGTGAGAATCCAAGTTTGTCTCAGCTTGGCGTAACCATTCCTGAATGTGAAATCTAAAATAACAAATGTAAATGTCTCTATTTTCATAAAGTTCTTGATTATATTCTTCAACCTCAGAAAGTGATAAAAGGTCACAAAAAATATCATGTTGATTCAAGTAAGCTTCAAAAAGTACCATCCATTCTGAAAAGCCTTTCCTCACAGTCGAAACTTCTTTATTTTCCAATAACAGTTTTTTTAAACGTTCAGTCTTGGCTTTAAGAATTCGAAACGACCTGTTCACATCTTTTAAAATTAGCTCTTTACGAAAGTCAGAACCTTTAACAGTCTCTGTCCTTGGTCTTGGAGAAATGACTGATTCAATTGTTGTCTCGTCCCTTTCCATCTGTAATCCTTTAACTATACGTCAATAATGAAGACTAGATAAACGCAGGGTGTCAATGCATCTCCAGCAGCATGGTAAACATAACTGGCGATTTCTGGGCGTATCAAGGAGACGTTCAAAACAGTTGTCTACATAGATAATACTTTATTGAACCTCAGAAATCTCTCATAATGTTGTTATGATAATAAGATGATATTGATTATTATGCTGATTATGATTGACTGAAATATATAAATATTCCAGACATAAATACCATATTGAATAACAATTACTTGATGGCATTTTACATTCATTCATTATATAACCAATTTATTAAACTAATAATATGTCTTTTGTCTAAGAAAAACATCACAACCTTGACAAAAATAAGTGAAGGTTTGCCTGCAATGGCGGAAAATGAAGGAAAAGCACATGGTCCGCATAGCATAAAAATTACAATCAAATTTACTGCTAAAAAACGCAAAGACAGTATCACTAATTCTCATAATTTATGTCTATAGCAACTCTGCTTCAAATCTTACCGTATATTATGTAATGCCAGATAAATGGAAAGAGATGAGACAAGAATTAAACAATAAACAGCTACACCATTCTTCCTAAAGACATTTTGCATGAGACTAGATCATACAGGGCTTATCTAAGAGAACAAGCTGAACAGGGTTACTTGATATTCGAGAGTACCATTTCCTGGAAGTTTGAATCAAATTTAGGAATGCTTAATTATACATAAAACAAAAGTAAATCAACCAAATAAAGTACACATGTTACTAAGTCAATAATTAAAGGAAAGGTGCAATTTGACAGTTACACATATTGTGTCCAAGATATATTTCATTGATATCGAAATAGTTATTCATGGATTGGAAAATTTACAATGTTCAAACTTGGTGTAGGTGTTTATTAGGTCAATGCCTTGATGGAGTTCGAAAATGAGCATTTTCGGCTTAGGGTAAGCAGAGATAAGCAATTCAATTGGTCGAGGCTTGGAACACAATATTAACTCTCATTCTAATTGGGTAAGCAGAGATAAGCAATTTGATTGGTTGATATACATGAGACACAATAACTTTAGTTCTAATTAAGTGAAAGTGAGGACACTTAATGTAAAGCTTTATTACATCAATACCTTGACTAAGTTCGATTATGAATATTTTCTGCTGAGGGTAAGCAGAGCGATAAGCAATTTGATTGGTCAAGACTTTGGAACACAATAACTCTCCTTCTAATTGAGATAGAATGTTTAAACTTGGTGTAGGCGTTCATTAGGTGAATGCCTTGATGGAGTTCTATGATGAACATTGTCCGCTTACGGTAAGCAGAAATAAGCAATCTGATTGGTTGATGCTTTGAGGCACGATAACTTTGGTTATAATGAAGTGAAAGCGATGGAACTCCGAATATAGATTCATTATATCATTACCTTGACTAATTTCGATGGTGAGAATTTTCTGCTTAGGCTAATGAGCGATAAGCAATTTGATTGGTCAAGACTTTGGAACATAACAACTCTGCTTTTAATTGAGGTAGAATGTTTAGACTTGATGTAGATGTTCTTTAGGTGAATGTCTTGACTGAGTTCAATGATTAACATTTGGAGCTGAAGCTAAGCAGAGCTAATCAACGCTAATCAATTTCATTGGTCAATGCTTTGGGACAAGATAATCTTGATTCTATCTGATAGTGATTTTTCGATGAAACTTATTATAGTGTATAGTTTGATTGCTTGATACTTTTGAAAAAAAATAAATGTGCGATTAATTAATGTGTGTCATCTATTTATTTTGGGAACATTAGCCTCACTGTTGGCTTGTTTAAAATTTATATGTGTTATTTACATTAGTGAGACAAATTGAATTTCAAAAATTATGATAAAGATATTGATTTTTACTCTCCAATGCATTGATGACTTAGCTGCTGTGGGCTTATGTTTTGTTACCCATTTCATCAAAGATCAGAATAAATTCAAAATATTTTCATTGAAGAACTGTATATTTTTAGAATTTTTTTTATTCTGATAATGACATCTACCGGTATCTAAGCTATTTCACCAAAATGTAATTTGATAATCAATAGGTGTATTTTATCTGGTTAGGTCTGACATGGTTAAATCCATACTAATCACATGTAAATATGAAGAATGTGGGGACCCTTCGGGACTAAATCTTATGAAATTGTATAGTCAGTCATTGCAAAAGTTCTTAATTGTGAATCCATTTCGATTTAAAATGGTTCAAGTATTATCCAATGCGACATATGTCTCAGTCGGGATCAGTCATGGAAAGCCCAATTATTTGTATCGTAACATTTCTACTCGCATATCAACCTTCTAAATGATTTGATTGGCTTTTTTGGAGGGTGCACGGCATGGGCTATTTCGGAATAGGATAATAGATGCCATTTCTCTTGGGAGGGCTTACTAAATTGAACAATGGTGGGGTCATAAACAGCACAATTACTGCAAATAGCAGTTGAATACTAAGTTTGATTGTAGACTAAGCATGCATGTCTGGACGAATTCCAAATTATGCCATCTAATACTAGGAAAGCTTAGTACATATCACACAATTCAACAACCCATTCCGGTTATCCAAATAATTCCCACTTGTTTATATTAATTTAAACGACACAGTCAAATGGGTTGTGAGCCTTAGAGTCTAAGCAAATAAGCATTTTATAATGGCAATTCTTTAGCCGTCTCTCTATTCACCATTAAACGGAAGCAGTTGCTCCGGTGATACAGCACTGCGCAGGTCCATCCGAGATCCTTTTTTGTGCTCCGGTCCCAGACGATTATATAAAGGGAACATCCGCACAATTTCATTTAAGCCTGATGAGTTCGAAATGAATGAAACTAGTCGCTTCATGAGAGAAATCTGGGACGGCTACTCGCCACTAATAAATTTCTAATTTTATCCATACTAATCACATCATTCTACTAATTTACAGACATAATACAGAGAAAGTGGTATATTTTTTGCTATTAGATAGAAAGCTCAGGAACCCCAGTGTTGAGGATGATTTAGAAATTAGAAGTAGATCAGAATCTGGTATGTATCTTAACTGTGTTATGTGAGGACAATTTTTGTCAGAAGGCTTTTGGATACATCTAAATATAAAAATAAAATGTCAGAAGATTCTACCTAATATTCTTATACGCCGTGGATGTATTATGTCGTTGGTCCTGTAAATCTGTTCAAATTTTGATTGTGGACTCTCGACATGTCACAATTTTTATCTGGTTTTGATGCAACTTAAAATATGTGACCACCCATGGCACAGTGAGTCACAGTTATTGTAATTGTCACATTCTCCAACTTATTTCCTTCAATTTGATGTATAGTTTGTTTGAATCAGACAAAAATTGACTGAGCTGTGTCCATTTGAAGCTACCTAACTCACAAAAGTAAGTTTCGAGAAAAAGCAAGTCAAAGATTTGGTATGTTCCAAAACAAAATCCCAGAGCAACCAGGCCATTATTTGCTGTTTTATCGTTGAATATATCTTTCCATGGTTTTCAGGGGTGCTGAAGACGAAAATCGTAGTAAAAATTTGATCTGGCGATTTCCGCCATTTATTTGCTATTTTGTTGTTTAATATTTTTTATTTAGAATTTCAAGGGTGCTGAAGACCAAAATCATGGTAAATGCACTCTTTTCATAACGAAACATCCACAACACATGCAGCATATTCATATGATAGTGTTATACTGAAGAACAATCTATACATTAAGGTTGTTGATTGGGTAATCATCAAAGAAGCTGCCACAGCTGTACGTGTGTTCCTTTAACACGTGAATTAAAATAAGGTTTTGCATGTACGATAGGTCAATTATTATTTTCAGTTACCATAACGGTATCAAAATATGAGTCCCTTTAGAAATGTCAGTTTCATTGGCGGCGGTGTAATTAAAAATTTGCAGACTGTTTTCCCACTCGAGAATCGTCACATTTCGGCACGTTGGTCGTTCTCATTTTTTCGACCCATGGTGATAAGAGAATTTTAAACAGTAATATCCAATATGCATTCCTTACTTTGCATGCCATATGAAGAAGCGACAGTAAATGGAATTCAGGTATCAATAAAATTCTCTTTGAAAAGAAAATTAATGCCCATTTTGTTTATTTCCTTTGAAGGCCTATAAATTATTTTTTTAAAGATGAAACGAGATATCAAATAATCACCGCTTGGATTAATTATTCGGAGTAAATAATAAATTGTCGACGGCTGTATCATTGATTCGTGACAGCTGAGTCGCATGTAGGTTCCCCGAAACATTATCGCTCAAGTCAGCCACGTATTTTGCACGCGGTGTCTGTGCCAATCAGCAAGCGAGTTGTGTAGACAGCATAGCAACAAGCGGAGTTTGTTTACATTTTTAGGGGTTTTTATCTGCAATACTTTGGTCATATTTGTAAACTAGAGATTCTCCGCTTTACAACGATGCCAATTATTATGCAAGAGGAATGAACGGTCGTCCCACTGCGAGCGAAGAAAAATAACTAATTTTGCTGAGAATTTTAAGAAATAGGACAGATTTAAGAATACAGTACTCTTACAAAACGTCCAAATAAAGGTGTTCTAAAATCATTTATTGCTATTTTGATCTTTTGTGTCGATAGATAGTATATATATATATATAGACTCATTTTTGTAAAAATCTCAATTTTGATCAAAATCAATATTTTCACTTGTTTTGTCTATCTCATTATTGATTTGCGTGCATTCCAACTCATTTAGCTGTGGCCAGTCACGTATAATAGCTTTATATTCAATAGATCCCAGCTCCTTTCAATATTGGCACATATCTTACCATCAGTTGTTCATGTTTAGCTTAATATGATTTATAAACCTGTAGTATACTGGAGTTTTATAGTATGGCGAACAATTCCTGGTAAAGATTTATCATTTATACGGAGTTCTATTTGTGATAACATTAATACATCAAAAGCATCTTGTTAATGCCAAATGTAAGAAAACCCCACATTATTTAAAAGTAATTTTATTTCAGCTACCCAATTTAGAGAACCATTTAACGAATCCTATAGAATAGTGTATACATTAGATATTAATAAATTCTTTTTATTTAACAATATCTTATAAATCTTATTTGACTATTTATTATTATAGCTGGAAAAATTCCTGATTCGCCTAACATAGTGAAGTTTTTATCTTCATTTGAAATATATCTCATAAAATCATTTTGTACATTATCAATTGATTTGCCACTATGAAAACCCTAAACTTTACGAGCATAAACTGTAACACCTGCTTATGGAAAAACAGCTACTTATTTATTTGGACGGCATTTCAAAGAGTATTCTCCCAAACTTGTCATTAGCTTGACAACATTGAGAGAATACTCTTTGAAATGTCACCCGAATAGTAGTTACTTTATTAACGGATTCGTATCGGACTCTGTCCTCTGTTCGTTACTGCCTGATCCTATACACAACTAATATTAAAATAAGGCTTTTCCCCCTCCTCATCCTTAACGTCTATTTTTCACTGTGATTCTTCTTTGTTCGCCAATTGTAAAAAACGTTCAATTATATCAGGTCCCAATTTTTATCCGACCTGATTGTACGAAAATCACGTTTTTAGCTTGTGGACACTCTAGAGGTCACAATTTTCATCCAATTTTGATGAAACTTGAAATGTATGTTTGGTTCCTTTCCGCTTAGTGAGGCGAGAGGTGTTGTTGCATGCGTCCTAGGTGCCAGAGTCTTCAGGCATGGGTTTTTGTGCCCACTTTAGGGCTCCAGGAAAATTTTGAAATTTTGATGTGATATTCTCCATTTTGAGTGACTTATTAACATATACGGAAATGGCGCCGAGATCAACCTGGGACACTATAAGCCAGCATACTACAAGAGGAAATAAACCTGGCAAAGTATAAGAAATTCGGTGGACGACCGTGACTGCAACGAAATCTCGTTATTGGTATGCACAGTGACACATTTCGTTCTACAAAACAACAAGGATTTTCCTTTCTCTTCTAAAGTACGTAATCATGAATGTGCCAGGAAATAACTGATAGATTCAAAGAAGCACAGAAACATACTTTCCCGTGATGTATAACACGATAACTGGAATGATAACTGGAATTTTAACACCGGTATTTTGATACTCGCCATCGCCCCCCACTCATCCTCTCTCTCTCTCTCACTCTCTCTCTCTTTATTTTCAAGTTATTAAAATATGAATTTGTCAGAACATTACTTGCATATTTGAAAAGAGCAATCAACGTGCTTTTCAGTGATACTAACATGATATCTGGAATTTCGTATTAAGACCTGTCTGTTTACTTTAAATACCCCCACCCCTGTCATTTAATAGAGTTTCTTAACACCCGATGTTTTGCAAGATATGCAGATATGAATGTGCTAGAAAACTATTTACTAATTTAAAAGTGCAGTGAATGTGCTTTTCGGTTATGTAACATGATATTTGAAATTTCGTATGAAGACCTGTATTTTAACATTGATGGCCCACCCTCCCCCCACACACACACACTCACCCGCTCACACACGGTCACTTAATAGAGGTTAGTACCATCCAAATGATCTTTTCTCAGGTTATGAAAATACGAATGTGCCAGAAAATATTATTTAAATATTTACAAAGAGAAATGAACTTGCTTTCACTGATATGTAACTACTACATGATATCTGGAATTCCGTATTAAGACCCGTATATTGCATGCCCCACCTCCCTTCTTGTAATCATAGTACCATCCAAATTTGATCGTTTGTTAAGGTTAAGTAAATTTCTTATAGTGTGCTAGATTTATTTCCTCTTGTTGTGTGCTGGCTTATAGTGTGCCAGGTTGATTTCGGTGTTGTTTCTGTGTATGTTAATAAGTCCTGTGATATCCTAGATTTGCATGATAAATTAATATCAAAGATAAATCAAAAACAACATTTTCCAATAAGGCATTTGTCATTTGTCACTATACGTTTTACATTTAACTCTGAGGTACTTTGACTTTATCATTACCGGTATTAGGACATTATATATTGTACTTTTTACATATAATCAGTTGACAACACATTTTAGCAGAGCATTTGATATTGGTAGCGATACCCTTTCACAGACATGTGACTTGTAAATTTTTTTTTTTTTTTGCAAAAAAGTGGGGGGGTCGAAGCCCCCGCAGCCCCACCGGTTGCGCGGCCCCTGTATGGGATTGTAACTTCTGGATTACAGCCCCTGATTAATGGGTTATTTCTTAGCATGGAAGATTCATTTTATTTGTTCATTGGAATTTTTATGAATAATAAATATCACTTACTTCAAAAAAATATTTGTTATGGAGGCTAAAAGTACAGTTTTTACCAAAATAACATTATTTCCGGGGATAATGAAAATGTTAAATTAATTTTATAAAACCATGCATTGGGCAGAGTGATTCATGCACAGAATAAACACGCTATATTTGGGGCTTATTTTAACAAATATAAGACTTGCCATTAAAATCATCATTCATGAACAATTAACCTATTGCTAAATTGGATTTTTGTGTGATGTAACCATTTGAATGTTTTTTCTTGAGGGGTTGGATGGTTAGCACCTGCACGTTGTATCATAAGCAAATTATTGAAATAAAATTGAACCATCTGTTAGTCCCGAAATGACCTAGTTTGTGTCGAATGGACTGGACATTATACTCCATTTCTCTCTCTCTCTCTCTCTCTCTCTCTCTCTCTATGTTTTTTGTTTAACTTATAGAAAAATTTAAGTTTCTTGGTCACAGAGTGAGTTATATTTTTGGCTGATTTTTATAAATGCACTGGAGCACCGTTAAAACATTCTAATAACCAAGAAATTGGCGGTTGACCATATAAACTCAAAATGCAGAAAGTACTTGCATACTCATATTGTAGAGGTTAAATATCCTTTGTAATCATCCTACTATGTCTCCAATAATTATCGCAGACAAATATAAAAAAATACACATCCAAAACAGAGCACAGTTCACACGCCCTTAAAAGATTAAAATTTGAGTGCTGTGATCGGTACAATAATTTTATTTTAATAGGACAATAAG